CCTCTTTTTTTCTAGAGAGAAAATGGTTTCGATGTCTAAGGGTGCAACATTTTAGAGCCAGTTTGATCAACGGTTAAGACTCCAGGCTAAAAACCAGGAGATGGTGGGCTCCAAGATCACCACAGATGGGGACTGCAGCCAAGAAATTAAAAGATGCTTGCTCCTGGGGAGGAAAACTATGGCAAACCTAGACAGCATACTAAAAAGGAGAGACATCACCCTGCCAACAAAAGTGCGTATAGTCAAGGCCATGGTTTTCCCAGTTGCAATGTATGGCTGTGAAAGCTGGACCATAAGAAAGGCTGAGCGCCAAAGAATTGAGGCCTTTGAACTATGGTGCTGGAGAAGACTCCTGTGAGTCACCTGGACTGCAAGGCGATCAAACCGGTCGGTCCTGGAGGAGATCAACCCCGACTGCTCTTTGGAAGGCCAGATCCTGAAGTTGAAACTCAAGTACTTTGGCCACCTAATGAGAAGGAGAAGAGCCTAATGCTGGGAAAGATTAAGGGCAAGAGAAGAAGGGGATGACGGAGAAGGAGGTGGCTGGATGGAGTCACTGAAGCAGTAGGCATGAGCTTCAATGGACTCCAGAAGATGGTAGAGGACAGGAAGGCCTGGAGGAACGTTGTCCATGGGGTCGCCGTGGGTCGGACATGACTTCGCAACTAACAACAAAGACCTGCCTTAGGCATGAAAGCCAGCAGGAGGATTTCGGGCCAATCAGGAGGAGACTGTGAGTTCTAGTCCTACCTTCAGCAGGGTAGATGGCTAGATGACTTTGGGCCAATCACCAGGAGACAGTGAGATCTAGTCCCGCCTTAGTCGAAAAGTCAGCTGGGGGACTCTGGGCCAGCCCCTCTGTCTCACCCTAACCCACCTCACAGGGTTGTCGTTGCAGGGAAAATGAAAAGAGGGAGTATTGTGTATGTTTAAAAGCATCCAACGAGCCCCAAGACCTTGTACAAACGCAAGGACTCTAGAGGTTTCCTTCCAAAGTCTAATCTAGAACTGCAAGAGTCTCCAATTAGCATTGCCACCCATCAAAAGGCTGATTTGGAGACACTTTCCTGCCATTCCTTTGATCCCGGGCACCCACACCCTCATTCCAGTTCTGCGGGCCGGAATGATGAGTAAAGTAGGGAAGGGAAGGGAAGGAGTGGTGGAGAAGGAGGACGGACAGAAACACACCCTCCCCTCTCTGACCTAGAAAGTAGATTTAGTCCAGCTATTGATTAAAGCAGAATGCAATTACCCAGTGCAGGGACCTGCTGCCTCTGATAAGAAACAGAAGAGAGTCCGTTGCAAAGTCACAAAATTAAAGTCAAGACCAGTTCCCTTTTCTTTGCAACCAGATTCTCACCCCTCCTCTCCACCCCTATCACAGGTGCTCTCGCCTATCGCTTCCCCCGCTGGCTGAGCATCACTCCCTCATGCGCCCCCCCCATCTAACACTGACCATATCTCCCATCTCAGCTGAGCAAACCCTTTCATTTAGCAGCTTCTGCCTTTCAAATGTCCTTCTTCTCTGCTTCCAAACTTGTGGGTCTCTCTCTCTCTTCCCCCCCCTCTCTCTCTCTGCCTCTCTCTCTGCCTCTCTCTCTCTCTCTCTCTCTCTCTCTCTCTCTCTCTCCCTCTCTCCTTCTCGCTCTCTCTCCCCCCTCTCTTCCTCTCTCTCTCTTCCCCTCTCTCTCTCTCTTCCTCTCTTCTTCTCTCTTCCCCTCTTCCTCTCTCTCACTTTCCCTCCCTCCCTCTTTCTCCCTCTCTCTTTTACTCCCTCTCTCTTCCTCTCTTTCTCCCCCTCTCTCTCTTCTCTCTTCCCCTCTCTCTCTTCCCCTCTTCCTCTCTCTCACTTTCCCTCCCTCCCTCTCTCTCTCCCTCTCTCTCTTCCTCTTTCTCTTCCCCCTCTCTCTTCCCCTCTCTCTCTGTCACTCTCTCTTCTTTCTCTCTCTTCCCCCTCTCTCTTTCTCTTCCCCTCCCTCTCTCTCCCTCTCTCTCCCTCTCTCTCTCTCTCTCTCTCTCTCTCTCTTGCAGTTGGCAAGAAAAGCTTCTGTCCCTATTTTTTTAAAAAACCAATCGATGGGGAGACACAGAGGGAACATCCAACAGTTTTATTTTGAGCGACTCGCCCATGTACAGCGTTCACACTTTTTTTTCCCTGCTGCTTTTCCAGCCCAAACGAAAAAGCAACGTGAGGCCTGAAGCACTAGCGTAGAATAAATAAATAAATAATCAGGCTTTTAGGTCTGCCCTGACGATAAGCAGAACTGAACATTTTGGCTGAAATTGAACTGGACCTCTGCAAGGCTGCTCTGTCCCGGAAAGGCTACATTCAGGAAAAAAAAAAAAAAAAAACCGATGGCTTTTCTCACTCAGTCAGCAATTTTGGATGTTTTCCACCAAAAAAGCGTGTCCTATGCAGTCCATAGGGCAAGTCTCCCAGGGATTTAATATACTTGAAGAGGCTTATCCCCAAACTAATAAAATGTACATGTATCTTTAATAAAAACATTTCATAGTTTTTAAGTTCATTTTCCTAAACATGTATTTCATCGTAAAGCTCAGAGCCATACTAGGAAACGATGCCCGAACAGTTTTGCAAAATACCAAAACTCAGACACATCCACAAAACTATTAAGAAAAGTTGGACACACGCACACAAACACACACATACACATACATACATACATACATACACATATATATTTATACTCCTTGGTCATTCCAGCTGAAGAGCAAACCCAGAATAGCCGAGAGATGCCCTGTGCATGCACTCTTTCACTGTCTCTGCCCATTTTAATATGGTGATGAAATAAACCAATTACCCAAGCTGAAAAACCACCTAACCAGTTGATAGAAGCTCGGAAGGAGAGCATGTAAAGGTCACCCACACGCACTTCAAGCCCCATTTGCCTCCTGCCACACGCAATTTCTCGCCATTTGCTGGCCTGCCTTATAATTGCATCCTTGAGCAGTGAAGGACAGAGAGGTGGACAGCTTTGCAAGGAAAGATCACAGCGAAACGGGGGGGGAGGGCAGAAGGCACGAGTGCGCACACACCTGACAGGACCCCCCCCCCCAGACTCCAAGGCTGCATTAGAACTTCTGCCTGAATAAAAGCTGACCTCTCCCAAAGTGAAGCGGATCTATTGATGGATGGAGAGGTCAGCCACTTAACAAGTGAAGTTCAGCCTTCTTCTGCAAAGCTGGGGGTTCTGACCTTTTCTGTGAATCCCACCCACCGCAAGGTGGAAGGGGATGACAGGCCTTTTCCAGGCTCAGCTGGCAGTGGGACCCTGGACATTAAACCTAAACATTTAAAACGGGAAACCCTCAAACTGGAATCAAAGGGAGGCCATTAAGCCTAAACATTTAAAAAAACGGGAACCCTTCAAACTGGAATCAAAGGGACACACGTCCTTGTACTTCAATTCAGACCAGGCTGCTCCCGCAAATTTTACTTTCCCAGAGCTTTGTTCTCTTCCTGTTCAACCCCCCACCCCCTCCCCTCCTTCCCTGTGCTTGCTGCATCAGATGGGAATTGATACCCAGGATGGGGAGGGGGGGGGAGTTGTGTGATTTGGAAACGCCATTTTTACTTGTACAAATTCTCCCCACTGATCAGAGCAACGTTCAAGGAAGGTCGGTGGGGAGAGGGGGCTTCAGCGAGCCCACGCAAGGGCCTCATGGGCTTGCAGGGGAGACGGGAGTGTGTGGGGGGGGAGGAAGGATGGGAAAATGTGACAAAGGATGATGGACTTAGAAGTGGACGGGGATTGAGGCTGGCCCCCCTTCGCACATGCTTTTCCTTCCACAGCAAAACTGCGAGAGAAGAAAGAGGGCAAAAGGAAAAATAAAGGAAGGGGGGGCGTTGGGGGGGGGCGAGAGGGAAGAGAGATGATGTAGCTATTTAGCTGCCTTTTTTTTAGCACCGCGATCCATTTGAGCGAGCCGGATGCAAAACACACACACACACAAAAAAAAAAAAAAAACACCAGCCCGAGCCGAACAATTAGACGTGGCACTCGCGAACAAAAGGAAGCGACCACCAGCCCTTTCCCCAAAACAGGCATCAGCAGGAGCAGCATCCGAGTTGAACCCAGAAACGGTTCGACAAGGGGAAAAGGGGGCTTCGGAAATTGTGAGGATCCCCCCCCACAAACACACACACACACACACACACACACACACTTCCACTCCGCAATAGGCGCAAGCAGCCCCCACCCCGAAATCTAATTTAGGAGTTGAAAGGAGGGAACAACCTCTGGGGGGGGGAGGGGGAGAGGTTTCCAATGCTCCCACCCCCCTTCTTCACTCTCGGGCATCGTCTGGCGGACGAGAGAAACCCCCCCCCCCCAAAAAGCCATCCACGGCTGGCCGGACGGAGTGGGAACGGGACACGCGCGCGCGCACACACACACACACACACGCAACGACCCGCTCTCTCTCTCTCCGTCTAACAAAGCCCCGCCGGCAGCTGAGCGCAGCGCAGCGCAGCGCGGCCCCTGCAGCGCGGCCCGGCCAAGCGGGCGGGTGGGCGCTCCGTCATTGTTCGCTCCCCTCCGGCCCCGCAGCCCTTGCGCGGCTGCAGCGGGCGCGGGGAGCGTTAGGGTCACCCGAGAAAGAAGGGGGCGCGGGGCCGGGGGAAGAGCGCGAGAAGCTCGGACAGGGAGGGGAGGAGGGCACGCTGGCTCCAGCAGCGGTCACTGCCCGGCTGGGTCGGAGCGGACCGGAGGGCAGCAGAGACGAGACAAGCCGGCGGGCAGGGGAGAGTGGGCGCGGGAAGAAGCCTTGCTCGGCTCGGCTCTACCCCGCTCCCGGTTCGTCCTCTGAAGCTTCCCGCTTAGCCGTAGAGGACAAGCGGGCGAGGTTGGAAGGGAAGCGGCGCAAGGCTCCCGGGGAGGAGGCGAGGCAGAAGGGGAGGGCGAGAGAACAAGCCAAGCCGCCTCTCCGCTCGCTCGCTCGCTCGCCCGGCCGTCCGCCGCCGCCGCCGCCGCTCTTACCTCGGCCCGCCAGGCACAGCAGCAAAATCCCCGCCGCGGCCGCCCAAGGCGAGTGCCTGCAGCTCCGCGCCGACCGCATCCTGCCGCGCTCCCTTCTGCCGCCTCGCGCTCCCGGCTCGCCGGCTCCGCACCTGCACTCCGGCTCCCCCGGCGTTAATCTATGCTAATGAGATGCGAGCGGGGGGCCGGGCCGGCGGGGGCGGGGGGCGGGGCCTGCGGAAAGAAGGGGGAGGCAATTGTTTACAACTCCCATGCGGGAGAGGGGGGAGGGCGGGGGGGAGGGAGGGAGGAGGCAGAGGGCCCGAAGGGAGGGGCTTTAAAGGGAGCGGGGGGGGGGAGGCAGGTGGGCTTTCTTCTCCCCACCCCCACCTTCGGCGGGGGAGGGGACTCCACCGAGGATTGGCACCCAGCCTGGCAATTAGGGGGACTTTGGGAAGGGGGGGGGCAAGGGGTTATTATTTTATATTTTTTAATGATTTTTTTAAAAAATGATTTTTATTTCCTCTCCCCCCCCCGCCGCCACATTGTGTTTTTATTATCTGTAAGCTGCCTAGAATCGCTGAGAGGCGGCTTATATAAATTATCTTAAATAAATAAATAAATAAATAAATAAATAAATAAATAAATAAAATAACAAACAAACTTTTTTCCTTTAAAAATAAAATAAAAATAAAAATCGTTCTGGGTGATGAGCCATGCAGCCTGAGTCCGGGCCCTAAATCAGCCTTAAAAAAAAAGAGCAGGCTTCTTATATAAAAAAAATAATAATAAGGCTATTGTTTGTTCTTATTGTTGCTCTTATTGTTATTATGTACCATGCCGGTATGTCACTAAAAATTAATATTCCTGCTCTGTTGGAGATTGCAGATCGCAAGAAAGATGAGCAGTAAATTAAAAGTACATTAAGGGTGTTAAAAATGGTAAAATACGCACTGGAAAGCAGTGCGTATTTCACGGGGCATAGAAGGATAGGCCCCTGGGTACCGTCTTTCAGGATTGCCAGACGGGTAATTCTTGATGAGGTGTCTTTTTGTTTTTTAATTTAAAAAAAAATACCAGTTTTTCCTTGACGAAATGCAAAGCTAATGGCTTATTTCATTCTCTCTCCCATCCCTGCCAGGTAACTAAGCATTGACAATGGACTGGGCTCTATTTTTACACATTGGGGCTGTAGAAATGGCACATGAGTGTCCACCTCTTCACAATCCATCAAGCAAAGTTATACTCTTGAAAGCAAAAGTTATACACTCCGGTCCCATTTTTCAATGAGGAAAAATGATTTTCCCATTTCGTCAAATACTTACTGGCTCCTGTTTTGGGGACACATCCAGATTGTGTTAAGAGAAAAGTTGTGCACGACGGGTTGGATTGCCAGACCATATCTATTACTTTTCTTTTTTAAAAAATCAGCACTTTCCCTGCAAAAAAAAAAAGAGCAATGAAAATAGTCCACAACCACTTCCCTCTATTGCCTCAGTTTTATTGTTTTTCATTTCTTCTTAAATACGTTGGTTTAAATGTGAACACTATTCTGAATGCTGTTTGTTTTACATTCTTGCTGTGCAAAAAGGGGGCTTCACTCTAACCCGATTTACCCATTAAGCCACAATGCGTATTTTGGGGGGTTTTATTATATTACTTTTTGCACACAGCTTTTGCTCTAGAGTGTTACGCAAACTCAATCATTTTCAATCTCGATTGTTATTATTGCCTATTTTGCAGTTCCAGACAACTGTAACAAATTCAACAAACCATAGCTAAGTCAAACCTGTGTTATTTTAGTTTATGAACCCAGTTTGTTTAAATTGGGGTAGGCAGCCTCTAAGTTTATGATAATAGAATAGAATAGAATAGAATAGAATAGAATAGAATAGAATAGAATAGAATAATGGAATGGAATAGAATAGAATAGAATAGAATAGAATAGAATAGAATAGAATAGAATAGAATAGAATAGAATAGAGAATAATGGAATGGAATGGAATAGAATAGAATAGAATAGAATAGAATAGAATAGAATAGAATAGAATAGAATAGAATAGAATAGAATAGGGTGGCGCAACAGTTAGAGTGCAGTACTGCAGGCCACTTTAGCTGACTGTGTTCAGCAGGTCAGCGGTTCAAATCTCACTGGCTCAAGGTTGACTCAGCCTTCCATCCTTCCGGGGTAGGTAAAATGAGGAGCCAGATTGTTGGGGGCAGAGAATGCTTGCACTTAAAGCGGTATATAAGTCTCATAAATAAATAAATAAATAAATGGAATGGAATAGAATAGAATTCTCTAGATATTTTGCCACCTCAATAAACCCCAATAGCTAGAATTAGGGGAGATTCAAAATAACTGGAGTGTCTCAATTTAATATATATAATATAAATCTAAATGAACTACTGAATTCTCCTTGCTGGATGTGACTGGACAGTTTTCTGCTGGGGATGTTTTCATGTATATTCCCATACAGAGCAACATTTCCCAACCTTGGCCATTGTAAGGTATGTTTGCTGGCTGAGGAATTCTGGGAGTTGAAGTCCATACCTCTTTAAAATGACCAAGAATGAGGATCTCTACCATAGAGGTTTGGATTTAGGGACCTCAGCAAACCTTTTAAGCTTCTAGGAAAGAAGAGATAATGTTCAGTTTGAGAATATTCCCAACTTACCTTAGCAGAGAAGCTCATCTTACAAAAGATTTTTTTTGTTTGCACCTTGTTTGCTTTGATGAGAAACTCTAAACAATGTAAAGGATTAGTTGCCTACTGTACTCTTTAAGCATTCTTGCAAGGATAAACATTGCAAAAGGAATGATCACATGTTGAAGGAAAGTTGTTTATAAGCTGGTCAGGACACAGTATTACCCTGGATTTCAACTTGGAGAATTATGATCTTAGGCAGTGATGGCGAACCTTTTAGAGACCGAGTGCCCAAACTGCAACCCAAAACCCACTTATTTATCGCCGGGTGCCAGGTGGGCATGGGTGGGCGTGGCTCTGGTGGTCATGGCAGACTGGGTAGGTGTGGCCAAGGTGGGCGTGGTCACCTCGATGTTGCTCGTGGGGAGGGATGCCTGTGGGAGCCAGGCAGGGTTGGGGGAGATCCAGGGGGCTCTGGCAGGTGGGGCAGTGGGCAGGAGGCTCGTCCTGTGGGATGAGGCGAGGCAGGGCGGGGGTGCTATTGTCGCAGGGCAAGGTGAGGCAGGGGTCGGGATAGCTGCTGCCTGACACCATTGGCTCCCGCACACAGAGGCCAGCGAGCGCATGGGGGCCAACAGTGTCCGTCAGCAGCCACAGCCTGCCGGCCCCTCAACCGGTGCACTCTAGGGCTCCGCAGCCCACCACCAGCAGTTCACAGAAGCCGCCTTTGAGCTGGACAGCCGGCCGACAGCTGGGGAGGCGATGCAGTGGGTCATGCCCGGGAAAAGGAGAGCATGCGAGGCCAGGAGGGATGGGACGGGAGGGAGGGAGGGAAACCAGCCATGCTGGGATGCATCCGGCCACATGGGACCTCAGCGAGTTAGCGGGAGGCTGGTTGAAGAGGCATGGTTGCCATCTCCGGGCATGGCACGCGTGCCCACAGAGAGGGCTCTGAGTGCCACCTCTGGCACGCGTGCCATAGGTTCGCCACCACTGATCTCAGGTGTAGGATTGGTTATGCACTTGGGATAAAAGCTTCCATCTTATCAGTCAAGAAAGCTACTGGATTTGTCTCCAAAAGCTGCACAATATACTGTAAATAAACCCCAGTGGTTCCGCTGGGACAAGAGCCCCTGCCCAAATGCCAGCCTGTCTATTTTCTTTTAATGCTCTCTTAACCGTCAAAACGCTAAGATTTTACTATTTTCGATCATTAGGCAAAAAAACATTTAATGCTTCCACAATAAAAGCTCTTCCTCGCAGTTGTTAAACTGTTATTGCAGCTTTGAAGGAAGCCGGTTACGAGTCCTGGCATCATCCATAGAAAAAAAAGCATGCTTCTTTTGCAACAGGTAATTGAATAAACCTCAGGCAAAATAAAATAAATAAATAAAAGACAGTGGAACTGCCCCTTGCACGTTTTCTTTCAGCAGGCCCAGATCAGGGCATCATCTCCTATATTTGTTGTTGTTAGTTGCGAAGTCATGCCCGACCCATCACAACCCCATGGACAACGTCCCTCCAGGCCTTCCTGTCCTCTACCATCTTCTGGAGTCCATTGAAGCTCACGCCTACTGCTTCAGTGACTCCATCCAGCCACCTCCTTCTCTGTCGTCCCCTTCTTCTATTGCACTCCATCTTTTTTTCAGCATCGGGCTCTTCTCCAGTGAGTCCTTCCAGGGGACTCACAGGAGTCTTCTCCAGCACCATAGTTCAAAGGCCTCAGTTCTTTGGCGCTCAGCCTTTCTTATGGTCCAACACCTATATCAGTGGTTCTCAACCTTTTTAATGCCGCGACCCCCCAACCGGTTGTGAGTCGAGGACTACTCGACTGGTGCAGCACCATTTGCAGAACGGGACTTTTGGCGGGCTCAGCAGGGCAGAGACAGCCTGGACAATTCCTATTGGCTTTTGAAAGCCAATAGAATTAGACTCTATTCAAGAGGGTCTATTCTATTGGCTTTCAAAAGCCAATAGAATAAAAGGGAGTAGCACAGCTAAGGAAAAGGGGAAAAAAATGGCGGACTGCATTGTTTGGCGAGCCCCGTGAAATGGTCGTTCGACCCCAAATGGGGTCCCGACCCACAGGTTGAGAACCACTGACCTATATTTAGGAAGATCTAAAACAGTTACTGGTATAAAGAAAATTTTGGGGCAGATGTGGCTTTGATCAGCATCAGAATTAGTGTTTGTCTAGGATGACAACCCAAGACTAACTAACCAGCTTGGCTGGTTGGGGAATTCTGGGAGTTGAAATCCACACATCTTCAAGCTGCTAAGCTTGAAAAACCCTGCTCCAGAAGCTGTTGTGGCTCTGAAAAGGGGACAAGTCTTGGATGATAACTTTTGCACTCTTCAGTGATCCTCGCCTGTTCCCAGCCACTGAAGATCACCGCAATAAAGAGGATTCCACCGTCCGTTCTGATACCCCTGGAATGCATTTGGGCTGGAAACCAGGCCATCTGGAGCTGCCTTCGTGAGACCAATCACCAATTAATACAGGGCTGCTGAAATGAAAT